GTGTGTGTCCGCAGCAACTTGTCTGCAACTTTCAACTCGGGAACCACAAAAGCTAGGAAGCTGAAATTTTTTTAATGGGACGTTCCCCACCCACGTGTAACCCCGCAAATTTAAATTCAGCTTCCCTGTAACAAGTACGGCCCCGTTAAAGTTTTTTACGGGTAAATTAATATCTCGGGAACCGCGGAGTTTAGGAGGCTGAAATTTTAGGGCAGTGGTCCCTTGCCCACGCTCAACCTTGCCCATTTAAATTCAGCGTTCCCGCGCTCTCGGGTACCACCTACGGGCTAGTGAAAATTTTGGCGGGCAAACTATCAACTCGGAAATCATGGAAAGATATTCACTCTTCATAGTTTCGAATTCAGCTTTCATGCGCTGGTGCGTGAAATTTTTAACTGTTTTCCAGTGTTTGAACTATTTTTGCATAGACAAGACACAAAGCAGTGAAAATCATTAATAGGCAACCGTTCGATGGGCTGCATTGCACAAAACGCATGGTCACATCGGCTAGTCTGGTGCGCGTTGCTATTTATTTGTAAATAAAGCATTGTTTGTTGGCTGAGTGCTCACTACATCCACACAAGCACCCTCATCCGCCCCCAGATTTTATAATTCTTTCGCGCGTTACAGAGTAATTTGGAGCAAGAATAACTTCAGAGGTTATCAATCTTCGTTTTTGCTTGCCGAATTTTCCATTTTACGGCTTCGTGGGTATCGGTAGCTTTTTGTCTAATCCTCTTAACCACCCGAATAGGTATCTCAAGTCTTCCTCGTAGCCCTTCGCTTGGCCGGTTACGTTCGCCACATTCCACTCGCTTAATCTCTGTGCTGACGTTGCTTTGATCTTCGTTTTTTATGCGTTTTGTGCTGTGTAATAGCAGTACAAAACGCATATTGTTACGGGGTTGTCTGTGTGTGTGTTTGTGTGTGTGTGTGTTTGTGTTTGTGTGTGTGTCCGCAGCAACTTGCCCGCAACTTTCAACTCGGGAACCACAAAAGCTAGG